TGGTTACAAAGAAGATAAAGATAGGAAAAACAGAAATAATAGTACCAAGTAACAGCTTAACTTTTAAAGAGCTCTAAGTCTGTGTACACTTAAGACAGAGGACCACATCCAGGTACAATTTTTACCCCCTTCTGTGCCTCTCGACTCCAGCGTGTCAGGCCAGGGCCGGTCCCTCAATTCCTCGGAAAGACGAAAATACAAGGCTTTAAAGAGCTCTAAGTCTGTGTACACTTAAGACAGAGGACCACATCCAGGTACAATTTTTACCCCCTTCTGTGCCTCTCGACTCCAGCGTGTCAGGCCAGGGCCGGTCCCTCAATTCCTCGGAAAGACGAAAATACAAGGTGGGTGTCCCCATAGAACCTCGGGAGGTCAAACACCTAACCCGACCAGCAGGTAGAGGGTAGATTGACATTCAAAGTGAGTGTGCTGCTGTACCCATCTTTATACCCATGGGGTCACGTATTTCTCTTTCTTATCTGTGATGTCAGATAGTGCTGGTCTCCCTTGTAAGAACTGGTCTCACAAAAGGCAGTTGTGAACTTAATTTACACTTGTAAGAGAGAGTTGAGAGGATTAAATTGGAGGTACTGGAGATTCTTTTGTCAGTGGGGGATCCCTCTCCCAGGGACGGCTGTGTGTTCGTATCAACATGGCTGCCAGCCGGGCACTTCTCGCAGCCTCGAGGCCAGCTTATTGCCTTAATCCTTCTCTCCTCATATCTATGTTTTCAGCTTCTCAGGATCAGATGAGCCAGCATAGACTATGCTGATTTTATTGCTCCTTCTCTGTCTTGTATGCTTCAGGAACCTCAGAGAGGCAAATAAGATGGATGAGATGGGGGGGGTGGGGTCTGTCTGGCTACACCCTCTCTTGCCCATCCTCACTCACTTTCATCAGGTTGAGGCAGAGGGTTGATGAGGGACAGTTGAAGAGCCTGCACTTAATAGCCTTTTGGCCAAACTAGTCAGGATCACCCGTCAGAGGCTCCAAGATCTACCAGTAGATCCTGATCTGGTTGGTGACTACTGCATTAATGAATGTCCAAGGAGGTCAATGTGTTCTTCTACAGGTTTATGTGTGTTATCATTTCTGTCGTCTGATTTGTGTCCGTTTGTCCTTTGGCATAGAGACTGTCCAGTTTGGCCAATATACATGGCAGAGAGGCATTGCTGGCACTTGATCACGTATACCACATTACTGGATGTGCAGTGGATGAGCCCCAGATGGTTAGGGTCTGTTATGGAGTCGCTTGTATAGATATGTGGAGTTGACAGTGGGATTTATTGCAGGGATAGGTTCCTGGGCAAGTGTTTCTGTGTTGGGTTGTATGGCTGCTGGTGAGTATTTGTTTCGGGTTGGGGGGCTGTCTATAGGCAAGGACTGGTCTTTCTCCCAAGGCCTGTGAGAGTGAGGGATCATTTTCCAGAATAGGTTGTAGATTGTCAGTGATATGCTGGAGGGGTTTTACCTGGGGGGCTGTCGGTGATAACTGGTAGTGGTGTTTTATTTTCCTTTTTGGGCCTGTCCTGAATTAGGTGGCTTCTGGGTACTAGTCTGGATCTTGCAGTCTGTTTCTTCACTTCCCCAGCTGAGTATTTAAGTTTTAAGAATACCTGATAAAGCTCTTGTAGGTGTTTATCTCTGTCTAAGGTATTGGAGCAGATATGGTTGTATCTTGGCTGTAGACAGTGGATCATATGATGTGTCCTGGATAGGCATGTAGGTAAGACTAGTGGTCAGTAGGTTTCCGGTATAAGGTGGTGTTTGTGACCATTATTTATTTGTATTGTAGTGTCTAGGAAGTTATTCTCTTGTGTAGATTGTTCCAGGCCTAGATTGATAGTGGGGTGGAAATTGTTGAAATCCCAATGGAGTTCTTCAAGGGCCTCCTTCCCGTGGGTCCTTATGATGATAACATCATCAATGTAGCGTAAGCAGAGTGGTGGTACTAGGGATGGGATCAACCATAAAAATGTTGGCATAGTGTGGGGCCATGCGGGTACCCATAGCAGTGCTACTGACTTGAAGGTATAATTTGTCCCCAAATAGGAAATGGTGGTGGGCAAGGACAAAGTCACATAGGTCAGCCACCAGGTGTGCCATGACATCATTAGGGATACCGTTCCTAACAGCTCATAGTCCATCCTCATATGGAATATTTGAGTATAGAGCTTCTGTGTCTGTGGTGACCAGGATGGTGATGCACTGTTGTTTCCTTAGGAAGCCAGTGGTGTCCTGAAGATGGCTTCAAAGAGAATAATCCTATTCCGTAGATTATATCCTTTCCAGTGATATCTCACATAAAGTATCTTGCATAATACATATTTCAGTTATGTTATATTCATATTCACCAGCATACTTCCATAAAGAATCTGGAATCACCTGTAACAGCATGAATGTACATTTGTCTTTTGAATGTACCTTTAAGGGGAAAAATAGTACAAGATACTTCCTTCATAAACTGTTACTGGGAGGAAAGCTT